CGACCTCAATTTGAGGTCTAAATCCCTATTTTTCAAAAATCCCTAATTCTACCAACACCCCCCCCTCCCCTCCCCTCCCCAATTTCCACCATGAAAACTCTAGATTTTAGGTTGAAATCTTACGAAAAGTAGTTAAAGATTGAAAGAAACTAGTTTAGAACCACTTACCAATGTTTTGGGGAAGAAAAGTTCTTTGAAAAATCGCCTCTAGGGTTCTTGAGTTTGAAAATTTGAAGAATGAACCAAAAATCCCGTCTAAGTCAAGTTTTGATCAGTTGCAGGTGTCCCATTTGCGACCTAGGGTTTGCAAATGCAAGCCCCCCAAATGCGAAGAACCTATCGCAAATGCGAAGGTCTCCTCATTCCTGCTTTCTTCGCAAATGCGAAGAATAGTTCGCAAATGCGACCCCATGATCGCAAATGCGAAGAATTTCCCCTCCCAGTCCCCATCGCAAATGCGAACTTTGTATCGCAAATGCGAACATAAGGTGGCCCAACTACTCTTCGCATTTGCGATGAGTAGCTCGCAAATGCGAACCCCTCAGAGGTCGCAAATGCGATACCAGAGGCATGCACCGGAACTGGAAATACCACCAATGTTCTAAGTCCTATTTTCACTCCGTAGCCTATCCGAAACTCACCCTCGCCCTCGGGGCTCTAAACCAAAAGTGCACACAAGTCTAAAAACATCATACGAACTTGCTCGCACGATCAAATCGCCAAAATAACACCTAGAACTACGAATTGAACACCAAATCAAGTGAAATTTTCAAGAAAACTTTGAAACTTCTATTTTCACAACCGGACGTCCGAATCACGTCAAACCAACTCCGTTTTTCATCACAGACAAGTCACAAATATGGTATTGGATCTATACCGGGTTCCGAAATCAAAATACAGACCCTTTATCCAAAAAGTCAAACTTTGGTTAAACATTTCAAATTCATTAAGCCTTTAACTTTCAAATTTCGACAAAGTCCGATATCTTGGGTTAGGGACTTCCGAATTTTATTCCGGGCATACGCCCAAATCCCAAATTACGATACGGACCCACCAGGATCGTCAAAACACGAATCCGGGTCTGTTTGCTCAAAACGTTGACCAAAATCAACTCAAATGGTTTTCAAAATAAAATTTTATATTTTTTACAGTTTTCAACATAAAAGCTTTCCGGAAACACGTCCGGACTGTGCACGTAAATCGAGGAAGGTTAAAACATGATTTTTAAGGCTTCAGATCACAAAATTAAATTTTAAAACATGAGATAATCTATCAGGTTATCACAAACCTCCCTTTGACTCTCCTTAGAGACTAGAAAGAGAAACAAATATAGATTTAAAATTTTGAAGCAGGCAGTAGTAACATGGGTTTGGAAATTCTTTCAATTAATTATTTTGAATCAGAGAAGTTGCACTTTGCTTTAAAAAAATTGAGCATCCAAAGAAAACATATCTACTCTGGTAGTTAGATTCACTGTAATTCAAAATGGTTGAATCAATGCAGCTGCTGAATACTGACTAGTCGGTCCTGTCACCTGTGAGTATTTTGACTAAAATTGAATAAGCACGTGATTTCACATGTCAAGAAAGGACAAAAACGTATCTTAGTGTCGTGGAACTTATATCTTAATTTAATCACCCTAAATAAATCTTAGTAGGCGTTTGGACAAAACAAATATGATAGATTTGAAAGAAAAATTAAAGTTAAGCTGAAAAAAAGTATTTGAAAATTAAAATTATGCTTGGATATATATTTTATTTCAAAAAATATTATAGTCTTTTTAGAGTAAAATATATTTTAGTTGAAAAAGAGAAGAAATACTTTTTTAAGCTCCCGTTTGTACATAGATCTTTTTTTACCTTTTTTCAAAATAAAAATTTAAAGATATTGTTTGTTCATGAAATTTGATTAGTTTTTGAAAGATTTTGAACACAAATTTTGAAGTTCCAAAATCTGGTTTGGGTTAGTTTTTGGGTGAAAATCTATCTTCACAAAAATTCAACTTTTTTTTTCAAATAAATTATGTCCAAATACAACTTTAACTTCCAATAATTATTTTTCAACACAACTTCAAAACTCTTTTTCTCAAGTTTTAACTAAATTTATGTTCAAACGCTAGCGCAGTTTGAATCTTATCTTCAAATGTTTTTGAAACTCATTAAAAAATTCAATCAAATTTATAACCAAACAATATTTTCAAGATGAGTTTCGAAAAAAATAATATGGACAAACGGCTCCTAATCTAATAACACCAGCTTTTGGTCCTGATGAAACTTTCTCCGCAACCAATACTTATACCAAGCTAATGCAACACATATTTTTTTTTTTATACATTTACTATTTAATCATGGTTAAGTGATATGTATCTCAACTTTAATTTTGAATTGCAAATGTTAAAACGCTTGGTTTACTGTAAACACCTCCCTAATTAAAATATGTATTCTCATTTAAATTTTTAACTGCTAAACCTTAATTGCTTGGTTTGATGTAAACACCTCTCACAAAGATAATCAGATTGTAAATTAGTGCCAATAAGTGTCATGGAAATTATATGTATTTATACTAATGGCATAACATTAATACAAAAGAGTGATAGATGCAATGACAGTTAAAAATAATAATCACTCTTATGTATTAAGGTTATGGCATTAGTAGAAATACATATATTTTCAAGGGCTGGAAAATCTAATTAGCAATTGTAAGTAATGCATTCTTGGATGACACAAAATGCAAGCATGCACTAAGGCCTCATCTCAAAGAGTGGAAATGAAATGCTTAGAGAAATCCACCACCCTAGATCCACGCACATACAAGTTGTAATAATAGATTGATACTTATTAAATAAAATTTTGCATAAGTCACTGATTTTAAACTTGGGAGATCAAGCATTATAATTTGAATTATTCACTAATATGAACCCAAGAATGGGAATACTCATAAGAACAAAGAAAAACAAGTGCTTTGGAAGGCGTAAAACGTACTACTCCCTCCATTTCAAATTAGACCAGATATTTTTTTTTTCAGTTTGTTTTAAAATAAATAACATATTTATAAATTTAAAAATAATTTAATTTTAAAATATTCATCTTACCCTTAATAAATTTTTTTTATAATTATAAAAATATCATGACGCCATATAATTTTTATCCCTTAAGTTTTTAAGACCGTAAATTTTAAAAATCTTTTTTATTTTATTAAATTTCATGACGAATTAAATTATCCGATCTAAATTGAAACAAGAAGTATCTAATTTTGAAACTACAAGACCTCGTGCACATCCAAATAAACAACTGAAGCACACACACTGATGTGAAATAGATACTTATAGTATTAGTTTATGAGCCCTGTGGCATGGGGATGTGTGTGGGAAACACCCACTTAGATTTAGCGTATCTACCAATTCATCACTGTCTCACCCATACCATCTTTGATCCTAACTGGACCGGCACCGCCAGCCTTGCACTAATACAGAAGCTTTAGAGAATTTTGAATGAATACCTATTTCTACTTGCTTTCGGATGCATGCGAGCGCACATTCAGATATAATATATGGTTCGATCAGAGGCAGTTGGAACTTGCAACACCGAGCATAAATATACAAGTAAAAATCGATAAAATTTTAACTAATTTAAATTTAAACCCATAACTTAAATTTTAAATCCGTGTCTCGGGATTTAACAAGAAAATTAGAAGTGAATAAAGAAAACCAATAAATCACACCAAATCGATTATTCGAGTCAAACCGAAAAACAAATCCGACTATGATTTGATTTTGGATTGGAAAAAAAAACTTGATCATAATTGGTGTGATTTGATTTTAACTAAAAATGTCAAACTGAAACCAAACCACAACTCGATAGTATATTTATATAATTTTTTAATATATTTTATGCATATAAATATTTATATATATATTTTTAAAATTTTTACACTTTTATCTTTTAACATATTATTTCATGTTTGGACTTAGTATTCTTGAATAGTAAATAAATTTTATACTCCATAAATGTAGTAACTCAAACAAATTTCAAATCAATACTAATGCTAACAAAAGAAATTCAATTCAACACTAGGAATGATGACACTGTTGGATATCTATTTTTTAGTTTTACATTGGTTTATAATAAAAATGCATAACTTAGTTTATCTTTTTCTTTAGTACTTAGTTATGTAATTAATAGTACTTATTAGTTATACTTATTTTAGCATGACTTATATAATATTTTTAGATTATGTTAATTTTTATTATGGCTTATTAATTAGCAATATTTGATTTATGCAACTTTATTATTCTTTTTATTGTATATTTTAATATAATGCTATGACTTATCTCATACTCTTGTATTATTTTCTTGAAAAATATATTATATAGTTGTAATAATCTTACTAGGACTAAAGAAATATTTGCAGCACAAGTTACATATTTTGTGTGAAAACTTTACTGGAAAAAACCCGACCTGAATATCCGAAAAACCCGAAAAACTCGAGATTGAAAAATACGAAAAACCCGAGATTGAAAAATCAAACTTTATTGGTTCAGTTTAGTTTATAGATTTAAAAACCCTACACTATTGATTTGGTTTGATAATTAAAAAATCTGAACCAACCCGATCTATGTACACCGCCCGAAGAAAATAATGGATTCTATCACACCCGGAAATTCATAGCTTCTCCTTGTGTACGCTCCACGTCCTATATATACCTAATCTTTTTGTCATAAATCTTTCATCATCTAGTTTCTGAGTTGTGCTCTCTTCCAGCTACTACCATTCTTGCCCTCCAGCTACTTGCTTTCACTATGGCTTTCAAGCCTATGCCACTTCTCTTTGCCGTTTTGCTTCTCATCACTTCTAGCGTATGTCTATCATCAACACTTCATTTCTATAACTACAAAAGATACCTAGTTTACTATGCTTAGATCCATAAGATTAAATAGAACCTAATATATGAACTCTAGAGTCGTATCGTACATTTTCCATTATATTGCTAAGCATGACTGAGCATTTACATTATTCGCCATAAAAGACTTTTGTTCTTAAATTCATGCTCATGATTAACACATTTTAACTAGGGACTAGGGTAAACTACTTACATTTATGAAGAGTACAAAGATTCTTTTATATGTACCCAAACATAAAGCATACGTAGTTCACAAAAGTGACGTGTTAGTTCATGAACCTTTTATTCCTTTTGGTTGCAGAACGGAGATAGCAACACTGCCCCTGGTGCTTTCCCTCATGGTAAGATATCAAGCCCCCCACCACCACCAGTCAATGCATCCACTCCATACCCACCCACCCAGGTCACCCTTCCTCCTCCTCCACCGCCACCTCCAGTCAAGCTACCACCATCCCCATCTCCGGCGGTCAAGCCTCCACCACCACCAGTCCCTACTCCCCCCGTTTCACCACCAAAGAACACAGCAGGTATAACGCATTTATATAAGAGTTCAAGTCCTATCTTTACTTTGTTTCCGACATTTGTCCCCTGTTTTCTTATGTCTAGTATTTAAACAAATTTGACTTTCTTTGTATTTGTAATAGAAAACTATTTATACGATATCTTATGCATTGAAATCGCGCAATAGAAACATAGTCACACTATATATCTCCATTAAAAGAAAGAATAGTAAAAGAAAAAGGATCGGAATCTAGACGTTGAATCACAATTGTTTTGAACCGTATGCATCAAAAGATGCTTGTACGGTTCCTAAGAATATAATCAAACGGCTTTATTATAATTTTAGGCCAAAAGGTTGATAATGAGATCTGCAATCTTATTGGTCTTATAGTATATTTCAATATCGAGAATGAGATAAAAGATGTTTATCAACTAGCTAGGTGAGAAATAAGCATGGGGTCGAACTCTTATTTCGTCTAGAACAATTTTTATTAGCAGTAGCGAAGAAGGGAACTCCACATAAGTCACACACAATGATAACTAGTGACCTGATACAGTGGTAACTAGCCTAAGTCACTTGTAAGGTAATTATAAGAAAATCTCTATAATAAACATTAACGGGTAACCTGATACAATGATAACTAACTTAAATTCTTTCTATAATTAATCTTCAAGTGATCTCTGGAATGTCCTTCGGTAACAAGTTTTTCTATTTATGTATGTGCAGACTGCGTTCCCCTATGCCAGGTGAGGTGCAAGTTGCATTCGAGGCAGAATGTATGCCTAAGAGCATGCGCTACTTGTTGTTTAAGATGCAAATGTGTTCCGCCAGGCCAATATGGGAACCTAGAGAAATGTGGCAAATGTTATGCTAATATGACCACCCGCGGAGGCAGGCGCAAGTGCCCATGAATATAGAGATTGAAGCTCTAAGATGGATTATATAGGAACTGTTGCATGACTTTGCATATGTGAACTGTAATAGCTGACTAGCACCAGTTATAATTTTCAGAAGAGATTTTGATAAATAAATGCCCTACTTGACACAATGACTAAGCTGGCTCATTTTCATTCCATGTCATCCCTTTGCTTCAGTAGTTAACACTAATGTATTATGAGATGACACTAAAAAAAAAACTGGCAAAAAGCGTCCATCAAAACCGAATCGGTCGGAATCGAATAAAAACCGACCGGTTTCAATTCATCGAAAAAAGAATGGTCGCAATAGAGGTGCGACCGCCATCGGTCGGTATTTGTCAACGCAGTTTGACCAAATTATCTGACACTAAATAACCATACCGACCGACTTCGATCGGTATTTTTGAAAATATTTTAAAATTATTTTTAAATTAGCGACCGACGTCGGTCGGAATTTTAATTATTATTTTTTAAAAATTGTTCAATTCCGACCGATTTCGTTCGAATGATTAAAATATTTAAAATGTAAAATTAAAAATTCTGACCGCAGTCGGTCGGAATTGTTAAAATATTTAATATTTAAAGTGAAAAATTCCGACCGAAGTCGGTCGGTAACTTTGAATTTCTGGGAAATTCAAATGACAGTTCCGACCGACTTCGGTCGGTAGGCGGTCGGTTTTATGGGTATTTATTTGGCAGAATACAGTTGTTTTATAGCTGCACCACCTACCAATAACCAATCACCTATAATGGCAGCATTACATTGCTGCCATTCAACCAATATCAACAACAATAACAAAAATAACAACAACAATAACAACTATCAAAACTATATTATTAACAAAATGTCATCTCCATCTCCACTAAACTATATTAACAAAATATCATATCCAACAACAAAACATTTCATAAGTTAAACGTTCAAACACCATTCAATGAGTGTTTTGTATTGCATCACCTCCATCTTCACTACTAGAAGCTTCATCGTCGGCATGGCTCGAAGGATCACGACGAGAAGGATTAGCATCTGGGAAAGGCTCACGAGACCGCGGAATGGGGAAAGCACCACTAGCAAGAAGATTGGCCAGCTTACCTTGGAGGAGATTAAATTGTTGGTCCCTCTTTTCTAGCTGAACTTGAAGGGTATCAAATTGTCTATCTCTCTTTTGTTCTCTAGCCTTTGTCTCTTCAAGCTCTACTGTTAACTTTGCGATCTTCTTCTCTATAGACGAGATAGTCGACCTATCAATTGCCTCGCCTTGGGCGGAAGTCCCTATACCTTGCAATCCAGCCCTATAACGCCGAAATGATCTCTCTGGAAGGCCGTATGCTATCCCCTTTTTAGGACCACCGACAACATCCAACCATATCTTCTGCGCTTCTTCGTCTAAAACGGGTGGTCGCTCGCGTTGCTCATTCGGTGGCAAGCTCTGAGTGTACTCCTCCACATTAATCTTGTAGCGACCCTTTATTTAGAATGATTAAAATTATTAACTATATAATATTATAAACATTAATTTCAAGTTATAGTAGTTATGAAACTTACATATGTAGTCTTCGCCCGGTCCTCGACCCATCTAGTTGGATATGTCGGTGTCTTCTTCTTCCGGATGTGAGTCTCCATGAAGAACTCATCATGAGTCATCTTCCTCCCATATTTTTTTTCCTACAAATATAATAAAACATGTTAACTAAATTAAAATATATAAATATAGTTTGATATATATAGAATTAAATATTTTAAGGAATTACTAGTAGTCTTATCGCAGTCCCCATGCTCCTTGCACCCACACAATGCAATGACCCTTTTCAGATGCTCAAGCCTTCTTTCCCTGTTCACTCTTCTTCTCGAACTTATCAGTGGTCCACTGCCTCAGTAGATCCTCCCATATGTTCGGTATAACCCATGAAGGCTTCTTGGTCTTCTTCTGAGTACAATAGAAGGAATCAAATAGTTTCTTACGACATTTGGACTCAAAATTTGCAAGAATGGCACTGTTATGCCGGTCCTCCCAGGCACACTTAGTCTGCAAATGAAGTGTGTAACGTTAAATGAAAATATTGATAATAAAGTATTTAAATTAAAAAGAATTGTATTAAAACCTTAAATTGGTTGAAAATTTGCTCCACGAGCTCCGATGAAAATTCACTCCAAGTCACATAGGGTGCATCATACAACCGGCCAAGAGCTTCAGTGATTATCTTTGTAGTCCAATGATTAGGTATGAACCTGCAACATAGCAGTTACATTAAATATACAAGACTAACTATTATAATTCAGCAAAAACAAAGAAGTAATAAATAAATCTTACCCATTGCCCTCAGGCCTGATGATCATCCTATGATAACGATCATACCGCACTTCCTCTGGATCATCTTTCTCCGATGAATCTCAAGCGTGCACAGAAGGTGAGGCATCTGGCTCAGCGCTACTATCCCGAAGGCGAAGTCTAGAAATGCTAGGAGACGAACTCCATGGAGAGGGAGACTGGGTCGCTGATGAAGATGGTTGTGATCCACACCCCTGCTGTGATCTAAGAACCCTGCTGCGATCTAGACCCTTGCTGCGATCCGGGTGACTGAAATCTAGATGGATGTGATCCAGCTGGTGATGAAGCAAATGGAGCAGATGACGGGCGTATCACCACATGGCCCTGTGACTGGTGACTCGATGGACCAATGTAACTATATGCAGGATCATGTGGAGGAAGCGGGGTATAGCCCTGTGGTGGAGAATGGTAAGAATACTGCTGGGAGGGCGAATAGTAGGTAGTCTGATGAGTAGATGGATGTAGTGGAAAATATGTGTGCCTAGAAGATTGCTGCCGACCATCAGCAGCAGAGGGATGCAAGTGTGGAGTGGAAGGAAGCGAGGGTGTAGCACCATCATCATGATCAATAGGCCTTTTATCCTTCCTAGACCTACCTCGACCCCTACCGGTCATCTGCATAAATTAAAAAAAATGTTAGAATTGAGAATATAAATCTAGATAAGTTGAGAGCACTTGAAAAAACTAACATGCTAGTCGTCTTCGAAGTATCCTTCCTCGTACGAAAATTCTTCCTCTTCACTTATTTCATTTTCATTAGGTGATTCTTCGTCCTCATTTTCTATGATTGTTATTTCCTCCATATCAACTTCTTCTAATATGCGTTGAGGATGCTCCAAGTCATTTTCTAACTGATCATCCACCATTTGGTTAACACTTGAGGTATCGATTTGGTAAGCAACATCTAGAACATTCTCAAATTCTACCCTACCAACATGCTTAATTTTGATTACAACCAACCAATCAGCCTTATCCCTCCGCAATGGATATGGAGCATAATACACTTGCCTAACTTTTTCTGCAATTATAATAGGATCATAGTGATCATACTCCCTTTTTTAATTAACCTCAATTATGTTGTACTGCGAGTGCACATTTGTACCTCTTCTAGGTGTTGGGTCAAACCACTTGCATCGGAAAAGTATGATCTTCTTATTTGGCCAACCTGAATATGATAATTTTAGAATCTCTTTGATCACATCATAATAATCATTTTCCCCATCCTGGTTGCCTTTACCACCTATAATATACACCCCATTGTTATTGCTTTTTTTTTATACTTGAAGCATTCCTCGGTGTGAAATTTGTAACCATTCACAAAATACTTAGACATAGTTGTAACCGTAGGTGCAGGTCCCCAAGATATATCTTTTAAAAATTGATTAACACCGTTGTTTGGATTATTGACCTACATGTAGTGTTAAATAAATCACAAGTGAGCAAGTATATTCACAAGTGACAAAGTATGTATATTCACATGTGAGAAAGTATGTACGATGCACTTACACACTCTTTAAACCATGCCTCAAATGTAGAATATACAACATCATGGCCAAATTGACTCACAAAGTCACTGAGCGACTCATTGAAAACCTTGTTAGTTGTATCAACCAGATTAAATAGTAGTCCATGTAAATTAATCTTACGTCAACACTTACTTAAGCAAGGGTTGAACTTCCGGACGATTTAGCAACACATGATTTGAAGCTGATCTGTACTCCATGCTACTTATGCCCCTTTTTGTTCGATTGTTAGAACCTCGGCCTAGTTGATTGAATATAGACATTGGTGGATATACTGGATCAATCTCAATCATGACATTGTGCCGATTGGGCCTATTTATAGCACATGGCACATGACTGTCGAAGTAGTAAGAATAAAAATGGGCAGTTTCCTTTGCAACATAGGCTTCGCATATGGATCCTTCTATCATATTCCTCTGTTTAAAAAATTATTTACACTTGCCGATAGTCCTGCACATTGTCATATTAGACGATAACATTAAGGAAAATTACAAGAATAAATCAAGGTTTGATTATTACCTCTCGAATGGATACATCCAGCTGCATTGAATCGGCCCTCCAACTCGCACCTCGTGTAGAAGGTGAATTGGAAGGTGTTCCATCACATCAAAGAAACCACGTGGAAAAATCCTTTCTAGCTTATTATTGATTACAGGAATGTTCTGATTCAATTTAAATAAGTTTTCTTCCCCTAATGTGGTAGAACAAAAGTCTTTGAAGAACAAACTTATCTCTGTGATGGGTTTCCAGATATTTTCAGGCAAACGAAAAAATACAATAGGGATTAAGGTTTCCATGAAGATATGACAGTCATGACTTTTCATATGAGTTAGCTTTCCTTCAACCATATCGGCATGTTTTCCTAGGTTCGAAGCATAGTCCTCGGGTATCTTTAGGTTTGCAACCCACTCACAAATCTGTCGTCTTTGTTCCAAAGTGAATGTGTAGCTGGCCTTGGCCTTGAACACCTTACCATTGTTCGCAAACTACAAATGTAATTCAGGTCGCCTGCAATATTCTTGTAAGTCCAGTCTAGCCTTCCGGGTTATCTTTTGTCTTATTCTTATCATCCACAATTGTGTTGAACAAATTGTCAAAATAGTTCTTCTCAATATGCATGACATCAAGATTGTGTCGGAGAAGATTATCTTTCCAATATGGCAACTCCCAAAATATGCTTTATTTTGTCCAGTTATGAGCAACACCATATCCAGGAAATCTATAAGGTGGGGCCTCGGTAACTTTAGTGAAGTTCTGGACCCTCTCCCAAATTTCCTC